ACAAGCTATTGGTGATAGTGAGGTGTGCAGCACACTTGCTGAGGAGGAGTAGGCCGTTGGGATTACACTTGCCTAGTCCATTTTTCCCTATTGTTCCCTGCCAAATGTGAGCATCTCTGCCAACTCTGGCATTGAAGTCACCGAGGAGCACAACCTTATCTTCTCTGGGGATAGAGGTTAGCACTGTCATGGTCGGCGTAAAAGGCCTCCTTTATGTCGTCCTCTGCATCCAGTGTTGGGGCGTACGCACTGATGAAAATGGCATGACGTGAGTGATTCAGTGGGACTCGGAGCGTAATGAAGCGCTCGTTGATCCCAATAGGCATTTCAGTTAGCCTGTGTAGGATGCTTTGGCGGATGGCAAAGCCAGACCACCGTTCTGTGAGTTGACCCTTGTCTGGGAGCCGGGACTCACTAATGGCTTTGTCAATGTTATACCCACCCAGCTCTTTTGCCACAAGTTCGGTTCTTCTTTTAGGATGCTCATTTGTGCCAGTATCCCGAAGGGTCCTGACATTCCATGCAGCAACCATAGGAGGTTGTATAATTTGTTTTTGTTTGGATCTGTGATTTTGATTGTGTTTTCGACTGCATAAGGATGACCTTAATGGGTGCGGTTGCCCAGTCAGGTTTTTTTTTTTTAGGCAGGCTATGTTTAGGGCACCTTTTCTAGCCCCCTTCCCATGTGGGATGAGCAGAGTGGCTCCTCGAAAGGGCTGCTCGGTCGCACAGACATGACCGTGACCGGATTGCACTGCTGCCTAGATCCCAGTTCATAAACGACCATCTTATCTGTGCTACCCAAGTGCAGAGTTGTGACTAGAGACTCCCGACAGTCATCTCTGCCTGTCCCCGTCGCCACTCGTCCATCGCCATAGAACTTTTAGGGGAAGAGGGGTTTTGATGATGACGAGAGGTATGAGAGCTGGATGATGGCTGAGCGTGAGTTGATCTATGTGGTGAGGCAGGCTGCAACCACACATCTTGGCTCTCCCTTTTCCTGATCCCAGTGGTGGAAGTGTAGCAACGACTGGGGAGGGACAATACATGTATACACTGTACAGTACAACCAATTGCACGAGTTTCCACCATCCCCGTCGTTTACTTGATACACAAACGCAATATTTCAAGGACGTTCACAAGCAGCATATACATGCCGCCTCATACTCTCACCATTCTCGGGATTTTATGCTACTTGAGGAAGGTAGGAGGAGGAGGAAAACTATAGATGCCCCTTAGGAGGTGAGGGGCAGGGAAAGGGCAAGCACCCAAACCAGAATCCTTGACTCAAACCTGCCACCGGTGTTGTCTATGAATAAGGTCGCTTGTACAGGAGGGTGAAGTATACATAACGAGAAAAGTAAGTGAGTGAGTGAGTGAGTGAGTGAGTGAGTGAGTGAGTGAGTGAGTGAGTGAGTGAGAGTGTGTGTGTGTGTGTGTGTGTGTGTGTGTGTGTGTGTGTGTGTGTGTGTGGGTGTGTGTGTGTGTGTGTGTCTGTAAAACACATCAAAGGCTAGTTTTGTTGGCACTATACAGTACTGTATATAAAACACAAACAGTTTTCACGACTCCAAAAACTGATGTAATGATCCACTTCTAACACATCTCCTGTGCATATATATAGAAGCTGAAAAAACCATATCGTGATGAGTGTGGCCCGACAGCGGCCCCTCAAGCTTACAGTCAATGTGTGTATGTGGGGCCTGTGTGTATGTGGGGCCTGTATGTATGACGTCATTATCATTGACTTAACCTGCTGGGCTGTTGACAATACCTGCAGGACCTTCCAATACAAGGGCTGACAGTATACACGTACTACAAAATGTTTTATTTCCACACATAACACATCGAAATTTACAACACTAGCAGGTGAAAGAAGTAACAATGATAAAATTTATAAAACAGTTATAGCATCTTAGTTGTCAAGATGTGTGGCAGTGTGGTTATCAGTTGACACACACACACTCAAGAAAAAGATTAATCGACCACACCTGACACTTTCTACAAACAAGTAAAAAATTTAAAGGCGATGAATTACTCGAGAAACTGCTCTGTTGTACCGCTATCGGCCCTTGTGATCAGTTGATAACACCACCATACAACTTAAAGGTCTGGGTCTGGTTCCTTAATGGTAACACTGATAAGACAAAAGAGAAAAAAATTATCTTACTGTTTATGGACTTTGTGAGATCAATAATCAGACCACACAAGTTATTAATCAGTACAAAGTAATTCATACAATATATTGTTATGCCGAGGCATAATTTAGTACAGGGGTATTATAATTTTTGTGAACTAGGTGTTTTGATTATTTTCTATTCCAAGCAGCAGTTATTTTGGCAAGTTTTGGGAGATTTTCTTGTATATATTGATGTAAAATTTTCTAGAATGTATTGCATCACCTTTGCTATGATTTACTTGTGTATTGTAAGCCTTGATCATTCTAGAGCTTTCTGGGCGTATCTCGTTCTGACCTGCTACGCCTAGATGGCAATAGAATGCTCTAGACATCTGAAAAAGAGGCATATAAGCACATAGAGCTGCCTAGGAAGGAGTGATGTACAAGTATAGTGACAGCTCAAGATATTTGGCATTCAAGCATTGTGGAATTGTTGTGAGCGATATACTGTAAAGTGAAAAGACTAAGGAATTGTACACTGGTAGTGTGCTGACTGTATATATTCGAAGTGAGAAGCCCAGTTATGAAGACATACCCTGTGAACAGTTTTGTGAAGATTTAATGGTTATCAAAGAAGACTACAGTTCACAAGTGTGTTTCTGTGACCTGGTAGAAATCTACCTGGCAGTTGTTTTGTCTGTACACTGATACTGATCGTTGGGAAATCACCGGAGACTGGCAGGACAGCTAGTGGAAATTCGACAACACTTCTGATATATCTATTGCTTCTTTATATACGACCTGCCTGCTGGTAATAGTGGTAGACACTGGGAAACTGCAAAAGGGGGATAATATTGAAGTAAACAGCAATCACAGAATTCCAGAAATTCACTACACTCAATCGATAGAACTATTTTTTCTATGATCATTTTCTTATATTACACTTCCATCGCAAATTAATAATGAGGAAGTTATTGAATTTTAAAAACAATAAAATCAGAGCACCTGTTGCCCCTACGCTGTAACTCAAATTATGTGTTACGGTTGGGGCGCTTACCTCACCCTAAAGGCCAAAGGCTACACTCATCGAGTGATAAATCATTCTGAGAACTTCATCGACCCTGGAGACCACGACATATACACACAAGACATTGAATGCCTGTAGAAGAACGTTAAAAAGTGGGTAAAATGACCAGGCAATCGTCCCATATAGTGTACTGTACTTCACTCAGTATTTAGCGAGATATCTCTTCATAAAGAAATATACCGGGAATTTGCACCACGCCTTCTTCCAACAAGTTGCCCTCCTGTACCCTCCACAATCGTTGCAAGAACAGAGGAACCCATGACACATTCTGGTCTCTGACTCAGACTCCGACCCTGGCTCAGAATAAGGGGAAAAAATACTGTAACGGCTATTTATATTCTCGTGCAGGCTGACCACGCGACTCTGGGTTATTACAATGGGTTTGGGGGCAGAGCCCCCATCTAGTGGGTTAGGTAAGGTATAGTTTGGTTATACAGGGCGCCCCCCCCCCCCAAGTTTGCGGATTTTTACTATGCGGTTCTCAGTTATTCGAGGATGACACCCTGGATGTACCCAAGAATGTCTGTGGGTAGTTTTAAAGTTGCCGGCATTTTCACAGCTGGAACAAGGAGCCATTGGTTCTAGAGACAGTAATTTCCTTTACCTGTATTGTAAATATGTGTGTGTATGTAGACACACACAAAACACATACAAATAAATCATGATGGGAAAATACTCTCATAAATAATCAGAAACAATTTTATTAAAAATGCAACAGTCTACCCTCAAGTCCGTACTCTATTACAGCACTTTTTAATAAAGCAAGGACTTGAGGGTATACCGTCACATGTTTAATAAATTTGTTTCTGATTATTTGTGAGGGTATTTTCCAATTATTATTTATTTGTATGTGTTTTGTGTGTGTGTGTAGACATATATACAATAGTACAGGTAAACAAAATAATTGTCCTAAGGGCAAACACATAATGGGAATATACATTTCTTTGAACACAAGTAAAAATATAACCCCCCCCACCTCAGTCCGCAAACATTATTTGCGGCCATTTTGAGAACCTTACCCCTGCGAATTTTGGGGGCCCCCTGCATTGTATAAGTTAGCAATCACAGAGTACCGGGAATTCAGAACACGCAATCGATAAAACTATTATTTTTACTATTTTTTTGTAAATAAAATAATTTCTGTTGCGTATTGTGTTCCGATATTATCTTGTTGCGAATCGGATAATTTTGGAATTTGACTCTACCACAAATCACTCATTTTGGCTCTCCCCCACCCAGAACCCCGAATTCCCACGCTTTCCCCCCATTATTGTTTTAAATCCAAAACGAGTGATTCCAATAAAACCGAAAGTCAGATTTGAATCAATCGCATCAAAACCATCAGAAAAAAAAGTATCACATTCTTTGGTTGCTGTAATCTTCAATTTTACCGAATGGGGTTCGTAACATTATCCGCCGTATCATATTTTTTGTTACGTAAACAAGGTAGATACATAGACAAATGAACAATGTACTGTATACAAAAGAAGTGAAATGAGGAAATTAAAAAAGGGAAAACAACAAAGCATTAACAAGAAAAATGGCTTTATTATACAACATATTCACTAAACGGGAAGAAGAAATGAAAATTATAATATTTCAAGGATGAGTTACATGGTATTGAAAAAATAATAAGTTGTCAAAGTCACAACTGAAGAAAAATTTAACCTATCCGCACTAATTGACGAATTTATTTAATAGGAATTATATACACGTACAGTATATTTATTGTATTTTAAATGATAAACAAAGGGTAAAAATACTGAACTTATTTTTTTTTTTTTTTTTTTTCAGAAGTTGGGAGCAGTAACAGTACAGTAGCAGGTGGCTATGGGCAGTGTGGGCCAGCCACCAGCGGTGGTAGCAGGAGCCGCGGCAGGAGATAAGGAGGAAGTTACTGTGTACGTGAAGGCCGGAGTGGATGGCGAGAGGATGGGGGCGTGTCCTTTCTGCCAGAGAGTTTTCATGGTCCTCCTTATCAAGTCACAATATAACATCCTCAGATTCAAGGTGAGTGTATATTTCTATTATTATTGTTAGTATTATATATTTTAAATATTTATTTTTATTACTGTATCATCATTATTATTACTTTGCCTATACAGTAATCATTATGCAGTACTGTACTTAATATATCATTACAATTTGAGGTGTAGCTTAGGGGGCAGTGAAATTTTGCTCAAAGCTGCACTCTTCAGGCATTGTTCCTTATACATATCTAAGACTCCATGCCAAATTTGAAGCTGATATGTCGAGGTTTAGTCTGCCGCATTTTCTACTGAAATATTTAAATTTACCTACAGTACTAGCCAAACAGCCACTGTGGCGGTGCAATGTTCTGTTCAGTGTTTATCAACCAAAAAAATATTGAGGAAAGGTTGAGAAAATTGTACAGTAGAGGAATTGAACTAAATAAGAACAAGAATGTAGGCAAAAAAGCTGCATTTCAGGTAGAAATGAAAGAGTTGTTTGATATCTGTAGCTGTTATTGTCCCCTTGCCTCCTGTCAGGATGTGAGGTGCATAGTTAAGGAGTGTGACGGATATCACCTGGCATGTAATTGTGTTATAAAAGTTCCCAAACGTGAGGTGCAGTTTCTCCTTGACCAGCGAGGTGATAGGAAGATGAAGATTGCAGGGGTTGACATGAAAGTGACGAAGATGTGGGACAGAGTGACGGCAAGAGAGAAGCATGATGCGGACAGAGTTAGGAGACAGCTTGAGCAAAAACATAGATATCTGGTAGCTGGAGATATTCCTTATGTTGAGGATAATTCAGATGATTCAAGAGATATTCCTCTCGTCAATACTGATGCTGATTTTGTCCCTGATCCAAGGGCTCTGACAGACACCAGTTCACAGAACCGGACAAGACTCCCTACACTGGCTGCCGCTTGTGACCGATACTTGATTAGTGATTATGCTGGAGCTGCCATTGCTACTGCCACCTTAACTGACTATGGCATTATCACAAAGGATGACAAGAGTCAGGTTATTGGACCACATAAGCTGCGGGATGCGAGACAAAAATACCGATTTAAGAGGCAAGAAATTGAGATGGCTAGTTTAGATAATTTGACGTCACTCTATTTTGATGGTAAGAAGACCGCCACTCGTGTGATGATAAAGAATGAGAAGACCGAGAAATGGAGTTCGAGGATGATGGTGAAAGATCATTATGTCATCATGGTTGAGCCTGGCAATGAATATCTCACACATGTGACTCCCAAGACTGGACACGGAAAGCAGATTGCCAAAACTATTCACGAGTTTCTGGTGGAGAAAAATCTAACCCAGCAGCCCATTGTGTGTGTTGGTTGTGATGGAACCAATGTAAATGTAGGATCAGAAAATGGAGTCATTCATCATCTTGAAATGTTACTTGGTCACCCGCTCCATTATTTCATATGTCAGCTTCACGGAAATGAGCTGCCTTTCCGCGCAGTTTTTTATCACTATGATGGTAAACCAAGTGGTCCTGAGCATTGGCGTGGTCCCATTGGAAAGCAGATCAAGGAGTCTTTGTCTGAGCTTCCAGTTGTCGCCTTCCAGCCAGTCAGTTTCCCTGATTTCCCTGTGTTTAATGATGAAGTGGAGAAAGATCTGTCCTGGGATCAGAAATACCTGTATAGGATTTGTAAAGGAGTTATCACAGGTGTTGTTGAAGATGACTTGGCTGCTATTGAGCCAGGTCCTCCCTGTGTGTCAAGGTGGAACACCTTATGGAGTAGAATCCTCAGGCTGTATGTAGCAACATCAAGACCCAGCCATGAGTTGAAAAGAATTGTCATTACAATAATAAAGTTCAGTGCTCCAATGTGGTTTTACATCAAGATACACCCTTACGTAACACACGGCTCAAGGAACGTATTCCAGTCCCTGCTATATATGAAACACCTGAATAGTGAGGAGGAGACGATAGTGAAGAAGGCTGTCCAGAGAAATGCATACTTCGCCCACACAGATCAACTTCTTCTTGGTATGTGTGCAGATGAGGACATGACTGTTAGAGAAAAAGCTGTCTCAATGATAAGAAAAATTAGAGAGGAGAATCAGCAAAAGGAAGAATGCACTGGCAGATCTGAAGAGGAGGAGGAAGATTCTGATGCTGCTGTTGACGAGAATTTGTTAAACTATACTGATGAGGAGGGTAAAGATGGAGATGGGAATGAGGATGTGCCTCCTGTAGTCAACATGAGAAAGGTGGTGACTCCGAAACTAAAGTGGCAAGCAAAAAACTATCATTCCATGATTAACTGGAGGAATGAACTCAAGACTGAGCCTCCTTACATTGCTTCTCTGTCAAATCTACAGGTTAATGACATTCTTGAGACACCATTAGTGGTGCCCAAGTGGCCAAACAGCACTCAGGCGGTCGAGAGAGGCATAAAAGTGATGACTGAAGCTTGCACTGAAGTGACGGGATACGAATCGAGAGATGGATATATTAGGCAAAGATTATTGTCTAGGAAAATGATGCCAAGGTTCCGCACAAAAAAGAATTTCAATATGAACTTGTAATGATTTTCTATACGGTGTACCTGTAAAATAACATGTGAATTAAATCGATGTCACCCATGTAAAATTTATCATTATCCTGGAAAACATTAAATGACACCTAATTTTTGGTATACACTAAAAGTTGACAAAAAGTCGTTCGCGATGCGGCAGGGTAAGTATGCATGAAATGGCATGAAATTTTGCACAGGTGTTTGTTACAGCCATACAAACGATGCCTGAAAAGTGCAGCCTGCAACTCAAATAAAAGTGTTTTTTCCCTGCCCCCTAGTGTAGCTACACTTGCCGCTTGTTCTCAAGGTTGTTGATTTGTGCCCAGTGCTCCCCCAGGTAACCCAGCTGTGAACTGGTACCCGACTTAAGATGGGGGAAAAGAAGATGACACAGTACAGTGCTACATTGCCTAAACTTAATATTCACTGAGCTGTATGCAATCTGCTCTCAACCGATTTTTTTACATTTTCTTCATTATTATTGTTATTCTCATACTTAATCATTATCATCTATGTACTTTTTTACTATTATACAGTATTTTCCACACTACTGTACTGCTTCATAATGTACTGTATTTTTAATATCTAGTCAATCAGAAACTCTATTCTCTAAATTAAATTTATATACACTCATTGTTTTTCAGGTAATTACAGTAAATCCAGCCAAGCCTCCACCAGAATTTAAAGCCCTGGGCCTCAAGCATGTTCCAGCTCTTATTCACGGTGATGATGGTTATGACGCATTGGACGATATCATTCAGTACCTCGACACCAAGTAAGTTCTACATGTACAGTACAGGTACTTCAAATCTCGTATATAAACATGAGTGACCAATAATTGATTACAGGCTGCAGTGGAGGTGAACCTAAATAACAGACCCATATGCACACTGCAAATAGTCAATGGACAGACAATCAACGGTTTTCAAAGCAATAAATCCAGTAAGAATATAATTAATTCAGAAGGTTAGGGACCAGCCACCTCCCAAAAACTCCCATCTACCCTTGATATATCTCAGTCATTCAGATTGTCAAGCAGAAAAAAAAGCAGACATATACTGTATACAGTATAAAGCAAGCATATTAAGAATTAATTAAAGAATGTAAGCATAAACTGAGACTGTTATTCACAAGTGTTGAGTCGTCATTCCTCCCTCGAGGGGAGAAAAAAGATAAGAGAAGAAAGGGAGAAAAAAGAAGAGTAAGAAGAGAGATATTAACAATATACACACTGTAGAGTCATGAGAATTCACAACATACAAATTTGCATACTAATGGCAAGAACTTGCACCACATCACCGGACCAAACTTAAAAGTACTCTGCCGTTTCTCTTCCAAATGTTGGATCAATGGGCTAGTAAGCTAAACATGCGGGGTAGCTATTTCCCAAATATATAATCGTCAGTTATGCAAAGCGATGGTTAAGGGAACGTTTATGGGGTATACCTGTTCAGTGATGAAGGCTGGTTATGAAGTTCTCGTCTGTTAGGACTGGCATTCATAGAGCTAACTGACTCGGCTAAATATCCATATCTTAAAATAATAGGTTAAACCATTCACTATTATTCTCATATGGCAACTTGTGATGTAATAGTCAGCATGCTCGCCTCGCAAGCGAGCGGACCCAGGTTCGATCCCCGCACATGATGAAACTATGGGCAAGTTTCTTTACGCCATTTGCCTCTGTCTACCCAGCAGTAATTGGGAACCTGGATGTTAATCGATTTGCGGATCGTGTTCCGGGGTAATGGTTAGCCAGTGCAGTTGGCGAGTTGTCCGGTCTTTTCGGACTATTCCTTGACACTGGGTCATGTAAGTTAACTCAGGGTGTGGTTGTTGTGTTGGCAACAGCTTCTACACCTTAAAGAAATTCACACCTAGGTGGCCCTTGAACTGGCCATCCTCGTTACACGAGGGGCAACCATGATTATGATATGGTTATTATATTCTTGTATCTATTGCTAAATTGCTATGAAATTTCCTGAATTTCGTAAAAAGTTGATTGTATTCCTGTTATAACTCATGTTTACCTTACTGGCATTACCAAACAGCTACAATACATACACAGTAGCATTATCTTTTACTTATAACTTCACCATTTATCAGTTTACTGTCCTAGCCATTCAGGCAGTTGGTCTGGACTTTGTCATGACCTTTATTGTCCAGTGTTAGAAAAAACCTACAATGTTTGGTCGGGTCACATTGGATAGCTAATGCACATCCTGCCTCTGTCAAATGCTGAGGATTGCACTCAGGACACAATGATGAGAGATACACACATTACAGCTATACGTACCACCAACATCCAGGGCTTCTAAACAACGAGGAACAATATGCCTACCTAGGTAATTGAGTGCACAAATTTGCTTCAAAAGTCTCAGGTTCCAGTATACAGCATGGTCAAAATATATTCACCCCATATCATTCTTACAGAAAATATTTTTATTGTACTAAATTTAACAGGTTTCCCGGAGGTGGTCTGGAGTACAACAACCCAGACGCCGACCTCGCCACCAAGGACTTCTTCTCAAAGTTCTGTTTCTACATTAAGGCGGTCAACCAAGATCCTTCAAAACTCGACCAAGCACTACAAAAACTCAATCATTTCTTGGAAAAATGTACTTCCATCACAAATGGCCTTACCAATGGTGACACCAATCATGAGGTAAATGTTTTGATTTAACCTTTTCCTGGTACGGTACTGTACAGGCATCAGGTAACTTTCACCAGTATTATATGTACAGTCTGGAAAGTCAGATAAAATACAGTACAGTATGCAAAGGGAGCTGACAGCATTATTCCTACAGCAATTTGAGCACAAAATTACTTCATCTATTCTTGTACAGTATTTGTCCTATTTATGCTATTAAAAATGCTCTTATCGGTAAATACTATGTATAAATAAAAAAATATTCTTAAGCTTATTAAATATAATCTATACAGTGGCCCTTCATAGGCATTGATGTAATCACATTAATGCTGTATATTAAGGTGTACAGTATTTTTTTTATAGATTCATGGAAGTAATCTGGGACAGAAAATGGCACAAAACCATTAACTAGTGTTTGTATATTCTGAAGCTGAATGTCATATTAAGTTTAATTAAAATCAGTCATGTTGCTTCAGTTAAAGTTTCACTGTAACTATGCACACATGTATCTACACTTATGAAGATATAATGCACACAGGCAGATGTGTACATATTGTACTATATGTCTACACACAAGATATTTCACAGGAAGTAAAAAAGGGAGACCAAGAAATGATTATAAGTTGTATCAGCAAAGGTTGGCCAAAAAGTTCTCCGACAGCTAACCCAGACAACAAACGCGGGAAAATGGCCATAAAATGACGAAGTTGATGATAATGATGTGCGAGTGACTGAGTAAACACTTTCTCAGTAAAGACCGGTTCAGCATTCACACAGCTGGCTAATGACATTCTCTGCTGACAGAATGGAGATGAAGATGACCACCTTCATGAGGACTCCATACAGTACATGTGCAGCGACCATCTAACACACCTGGACTGTGAGGTCCTCCCAAAACTGCAGCATCTTCGAGTAGCTTCTAAAGCTCTTAAAGATTATGATATTCCCACCTACCTACGAGGCTTCTGGAGGTGAGTGACCTTTTACTGTGTTTCACCTCTTTTAGCTACATCCAGCCAAGACTAAGTCAAGACTAGATTATATTTTATATACAGACATTTTTATTATTTCCATGAACAAACTACTGTATCAGTCTTCTGAATTTCAAAAGTTCACTTTTCATCATAAGAAATGCATACCATATAGTACTGTACTATATATACAAGGTATACAGTACAATTATTGGAAGCCAGCCATTCATTCAAATTATTCAAAACCACAAATAATGGATTAATGTTTTAAAGTAAGCCACAAAGCAATTCCTCTGGTAATTTCAGAATAATCCCCCCTTGTGTAAATACTGCATATCCTTAATATTGTACTGCACAAAAATGGTGCTTGACAAATGAAGGATTGCTCCAGAATTCTCATTTTATGACCAAGATCTTGTCAAGACTACTGTATTGGATGTGCATAAACCTCCACACTGTTGGTGGCTGGTGAATTACTCAAGCCTTCCAGATGAAACTTAAGAGCCTTTAAAAAGGAATCTTGGAAACACTATGGCCTGTCTGTCATAAGATGTGTGGTAAATGAGTAACTTATCCTATCCCAGAGACAAAGACAATCATGAAAACCAATGAGAGACAGTTTGTGTATAATGTCGGCTATACTGTACACAAATGCCAAATTTGGCAGCAGCTGAGACTAAAACAAAGGTCAGCCGACTCCCCTTGAATAACTCAAGCACAAAAAACCTGGGAAGTGACAAGTCATAAAGCCAGACAGAACCACAGTACAGTGCAGTATATGGCAATTACAGTACCTGTACAAGTATTACTTATTTAATTGAACTTTCTTTGTTCTAAAAGGTTTTAACAAGAATATAGTACTGTCTACAGTACTGTATAAAGATGTTCTTGTAAAGATTAATACCATACTGTACCGTAAAAGTAAACCCTATCTCAACCTGTGTCTCCACCAGGTACCTTCATGCTGCATACACACACCAGGTGTTTGTACGAACCTGCCCATGTGACCAAGAAATTATTCTCCACTGGCACGATCGACCAGAGACTCCTAAACTATCCCATAAAAAGCACTCAGTCATTGCTAAAGAGAAGCCAAAGTATTCATTTGATGTACCTGTTCGTGCTTCAGTTGTAACAGTTGTAGATGAGTAAACTTTTCACAAGATTAATTAGTTAGTGCATACACTTTAGCTAGAATAAATATGTGTTGAGCTACATATAGTACTACTGTACAGTACTTTTATTGACACTTTATTTGAATACAACTTCTTTCTAGAAAAACATCAAAGTTTAAGGCAAAAAAGTATGTATAAAGTGATAGGAATGTATGAACAATTGAACACAGTGATGCAATCCTCAGTATGAACTTGTGATATTTTCTCTGCTCTGCTGGCTAAACAATGCTATACTATACTGTACAACTTTTACTCTTCCCAGAAATTAGTAAGCATCTTCGAACAAGTCCAATCCTTTGACAATCGGTACATATTTGTTGCAAAATATTCCGTCTTACCAAGTGTTGACAAAAACATAAATGACTTATAACGCTTTGCAGCCAATATGGTGCTTAGTTTTAATCTCTCGTGTAAATTATGTTATGCAGAGGGTAAGGGTAGTGCTATATTATATACAGTACAGGGGGTCCCCAGGTTACGAACGGGTTCCGTTCCTGAGGACGTCTTAAGTCGGATGTGTATGTAAGTCGGAACATATGCTATGTGCATACCTTCCTTACAGAACAATGTTTAAAATCCTACTACAGTGATCCCTCGGTTAATGAGCGCCTCGGTTAACGAAATTTCGGTTAACGAATTACCTTCCATAAGATTCTTAACTTCAGTTAACGAGCATTCCCTCGATTAACGAATTCCTTACGAGCGCCCCTCCACATGTTTTCGCTTGCACACTAGCTGTCATATTAGTCCGCCAATATACAGTAATCGATTCTAGGGCTTAAATTCCTTACTATTTTAGTAAATATCAAGAAGTTTGTACTACGAGTATTCAATAATTTTAAAAGCCATATATTAAAATTTTAGTCATTTTAACAATTATTTAACCTAATTTAAGTACAGGGAAACTAGTGTTTAGCGTGCCAAACAGCCTGTCAACACGCCATACAAGCATCAGTCTCTGTGTCTTTTCACTGGAGGTAACATCTTGCTTCAAACTCTCTTCAACATAAATGCTTTTTTTCTGTTTCCAGTCAAATTATTGGTCATTTTGAAATTTATATTACATACTGACAATATATAATGCAGTGCAGTGTTGATTTAAAGAAAATAATCTTTAATTACACCAAGTGAACTAAAATTTTATGGGTGAAATGGCACCATGGGGTGACTTCTCTTCCAACCCAATGCCTTCTCTTCTCCCTTCTCCTCCACCCCCATTCTAATTCCCATCATCATCCAGGAGCCTTCTACATACACACCTCAAAGTAAGTGTACTTTACTACCTTTTTTGTTGACTTTAGGCAATTTTCGCTGAGCTGGTGAGTACAGACTAGTCTGTACTCACCCCTGAATGTGAATTACAGCGCTTAGGAACTTCGTGTGTTCTTCTTTCCTTGTGGTTATCAGCATATACCTGATCACGCCACTACAGTGATTTACTTGTATATATATATATATATATATATATATATATATATATATATATATATATATATATATATATATATATATATATATATATATATATATATATATATATATATATATATATATATATATATATATATATATATATATATATATATATATATATATATATATATATATATATATATATATATATATATATATATATATATGTTTCATTTAATTTAAAACAAAAGAAGAAATAGAATGACAAAATACAGTAAATAAAAGTAAGAAATAAGTCATCAGGTAAATAATATAGTGTAACTTTAAAAGTTTAACCTCATTCGTATCGGCGAGCGTTCATAAGTCGAGGACCCCTGTACAGGTATTAAAGTTAATATTGCAAGTGTGATAATGTATCTGCACAGGTATAGTGTTTCTATAAAATTAACATGTTATCAGTACTGTAGCTATTTAAGAAAGCCACTAAGAAGGATAATAGTTATACATAATGTAATTTGAATAAGGAAAAAACTGCATTGTATGTGTTTATAAATTGTTCATCTCTTATATCACGAGTTTCTATAATGATGGTAATACTGTATTGTACTGTAGCCTATAACAACCATGAAACTACAGACTGTAAAGACTGTATTCATGACTGAATCTTCAATTAGTTGTAAGCAAGCTTTTAAGTACCTTAGAAACTTGATAATTATAAACAGATTTTATAAGTGAATGGCCATGATAATTTCAACCATGAAAAGATATGGAACTACAGTATAAACATCTGACTTTACCTGGCAGATTCACAAGTACTTAACTCTCATCCTTATCTCACAACTGTACATACCACAATGCAAAACTGGGTATAATTTGTCTGTCACAGATTACAGTAGAGACCAAGCATTCTAATTTTCTCTTTTGACATGACATTGTTCACATTTAAACATTGCTTCAACACAACATAATGAACTACTGTACAGTCAACTACTAAAGTCTGTTTGCCTCTCCTCCTGAACCAAGAACCCCAAAATTCAGATTTGTGAATCCAAAGCAATTGTGGACAGAAAAATGTATCAGTCTACTGATTTGTGTTCACGAATTTGAATCTCGGGGTTCATGGGTCAGGGGGAGAAGCAAACGGACTTTAGCAGTTGACTGTACATGTAGACTGGTCCAGTATTTTCTAAACAAAGATAACATACAGGGTGTCTCAGAAAAATACATAAGCACTACCATACCGATTTTTCTGGAGATCGTGTGAATGCTTTTATTACATACAACAGCAATTTTGTCCTTGCTTGTTGATGTGCGAGGTTCCTACAAGAGAGGACAATGTTCTTGTTGTAACACCCTGTACATGAATCTCCACAAAAATATGTTAGGCAATACAGCATGTATACATTCCTTTGAGACACCCTGTACAGTAGTACAATATACTTAACTGTACTGTATATCAGTTCATCAATAACCCTTTCTGACATATAACAGTTCAGGGTGAGGATAATGTTTTGTTTTTCTATTATCTTTAGCCCTTTGATGACGATGGTTTGACCCTTTGACGATGATGATTCAACCCTTTGAGGACTATCCTTAAACCTTATGACTTAAGATTTAACCCCTTGATAAGGATGTAACTCTTTGAGGACTATCATTTAACCCTTCAGGACTCACAGGGTTAATAAAAATGAACTGGTCAATAAACTTTAGTGTCAAAATTACACCTTGTATCTGCTTAGTCAAGTCCACAACTTTTAAAATGGATTACTCAGAAAACCTCACTAGTAAGAAATAATATTCCTTAACCCTTACAATGGCTGTCAATATCGGTGGACGTTTCCCATTCTATTTCTACGGAGGTGAAGTACCTAGGGAATTCTTAGCTGCTGCCAGTTAAGGGTTAAGAGGATGTCACATAGGAAGATTTGTCATATTATTCACAATATCCACCTTAAGCCTTCTACAGCAACCCATCCAGGTAAAACAACCTATCCGCTGAACAAACAAACAAACCTTATCACAGAAACACTACGGTATGCAATGTTAAAAAATTATGAATTTTTTCAAACATCATATAAAACATATTTAACAACCTGCAGATAAATAATGCACAGTCACTCAAAAACTATCATTACTTGAGGGGAGGGGGAGGGTGTATTGATAAATTATAGAATGAACACTGTGGTCCCTGGTTGACTCGGTAAGGTTGTCAAAATCTGTCATCAGCTGTCTTATATTTTCTCAACACAATTTTGCAAAGATAGTTTTTTGAGTGACTGTACATTTGAACTCCGATTTTTCAAAAATGGAATTTAAAAAAAGCTGAACTGAATTACTGTAAAACTGTAAAAACATCACTGGATATATACACTGTACATGATAAATTCTGTACGAGAATATTTCCTTAGTACAGTACAGTACAGTACACTGTAGTGTACTGTGCTGTACTGTACCTATATGTACCAGTATGGATCAGGTTCTGAGAGCAACGGCACCAGATTCTGACGCTGTGAGATAGCCAGTACTTTGGGCAGTACAGTGAAACCTCCATATAACGGACTTTCATCTCTATGTAATTGTTAGATGGAGGTTTCACATTTAACGATCCCTCAATATAACGAACTTTTCTTTCCATATGTACAGTAATTCATTAAATAGAGGTTTCACTGTAGTGCTGTTTTCAATAAATTTGTTATGTAAAATGCTGTAACTATAATTAATAAAGCTTTTCAAAGATATATGCAGTAGAACAGTATGAATGTATACTTGGAATGGTTTTACATTATCCTTTAGATACAATGAACTACCGAAGGTGTGTAAAGTGTTAAGATATTATTTCCTTTTGTACAAGTGTTATATTCTGAGCACCAAAGGCTCTCTCGAGTCTAATGAGAGCTAAGCTGGGTCCATTTATTGATAAAGGAACCACCGCCAACACTAGAACTCAGTGAAAGTAAATGATGCCGTCAGATGCGGCCTCTTAATCTTAAAAATAAATACTGGACCCAAGTGCTTGAAATCCGTCTCATAATCAACAGTATGAACTGTACAGCAAAATTATGTTCTATTCCAAATCCAACTTGAGTAATAATACAGTGAAACTTCCACATAACAGACTTCTCTCTCCATATAATCTGTGATATGGAGGGTTTCACATCTAACAGATCCTCGATACAATAGACTTTTCACCTATATGTAGTTCATTAAATGGAGGTTTCAAACCTAAGGGACCCTAGACACGATGGACAATCCTCTCCATATAGTCTGTTAAATAGACTCAGGTTTCACTGTATGATAAATTTCATAAAAATTATTACAGTAAAAGTCCAAAAATCCGGATGCCAGGAATCCGGGCCCCCCGAGAATCCGGACTTTTCGAAAACTCAAACTTTTTAAATTTAGCGGGCTTTTGTGGGTTATGTGAATGAATGGAGTTGCTTTAAAAAATTAATTTACATAATTCTAATAATAAAAGTAATTGTAAATTATAGGTAGCTAATTTTGTTAGTTTTGTAATTAGCTTGAACTGAAATGTAAAATTTGAGGCACTATAAATCTTTTGTGTGTATGTGTGCATGAGTGAATGCCACAGCTGCACAGCGACAACAAACGACCACACGATCGCCACTTTAAAACAAGCAATCAAACTGTGACAACGTATGTAATTTTGAGTCCTACTCTTTCCATGTACAGAGTACAAGCCCATAATAATGGCCCCTAAAGTAGATAAACTTCGTTGTGTGAAGAGAAAGAAGAACACATTGAAATTGAGTGACAAACTTGAAATAATTAAGAAACTAGAATGTAATGTGAGCAATGCTGTTCT